AGTATTTATTTATTTATTTTTATTTTTATTTTTTATTTTTATTTTTTTTATCATTATAAAACAGTTATAGCTATTTTTTTCGTCCTTTTTTTTGGTTTGATTTTTTAGTCTCACTAATATTTTGGTCATAATGCTTTGCTAATTTGTTTATTATTTACATGGGTTTTTTGTTTTGTTATTATTATTATTATTCTATTTCGTCTATTCTAACAGGTGTGATTTGGTAATTTGTTTGGATTAATTAATTTTGCTTATTTTATTGTTATTTTGTTTATTTATTTGTTTTTTATTTTATTTTTTCCGTTTTCAATTTTTTTAAGTAATATATATATATATATATATATATATATATATATATATATATATATATATATATATATTGTCATCCACAAACACACTGTTTCGCTGGCTAGACGTTCGGTTGCCTCTAGCTAGGATCGAAACCTGGCTGAATTGGCGTCAGTCGGAGAATCTACTCTTAACCGTTACCTCAGGGCAGGGATGAAGTTGAATTTAAGCGTATTTATTTTTTAGCTAAACACGCTAGTGACTGAGAGAACTCGATTCGTTTTAGGATAATAAAACAGAAACGTTAAACATCACTACACAATTACAATTATGTTTCGGCACTAAATATGTGTCTCATTGGGCGATAATAATCGTTTATTCGCCAGTAGTTTAACTTAATTTCAAAAGCAGAATACTTCCTCTTTTTTCGACAAAAACAGAATAAAAAGAGGCTTGTGGGTTTCACAGTGATTAACCAATCGAATATAACTAAAAACCGAATATATGAAAAATAATGCTAACCAAATATATCTTCACTCCAATTCTAATCCACCTTACATCTGTAATCGAGCATATAGAATGTAGTATTAACAACCACACATCTGACTAATATGTGTTTGATAAATACACCGGTGTCTCTGATACTGCTTTAAATAATGTGGTTACAAATAAGCTGAAATCACATATAGAAAATATAATATTTATCTAGGGAAAAAAAATAGGAATAGGAAAATCATTTGGTACAGACCCCCATTTAGCCAATTGGTCAATACTAAGTTAGAACAGACGTTTCTCTATGTAATTGCTAAATATTTCCCTAAAAGTAACCCTCTTAGTAGAATATTTAACAGGGGCACACTAAAACTAAGTTATAGCTGCACAGATAAACTTGAAGATCATAATGAAACACAATAATAACATTTTAATCCAATTTAAAAATTTAGATAATAATACACATTCCAAGATAAATACTGAGGATAATATTAACCGATGTAATTACAAGAATTCTATGTAATGCCCATTACGAAACCAAAGTGTAACCAACTCTCTTGTTTAGCTAAGTACTCTTTCTAAAATATAGAATCTACCGTTGAATAATTGTATATTGATAATAATAAGAATTTTTTTAAGACCACGTGATGTCAACATATTATCCTTCAAAAATAGTACATTTCTTTCTAAATATTTTTTGGAATTTAAAAGATGCTAATAAATCTCCTAAGGTAAAATGGAAAATTGTAAAAAAGATAGAACACATAGATAATTAAATGAGCCCTGTTTTCTATGCTTTCATGAAAAATTAGAAATTACCAGATTTTCTGATAAAAACGCTTTATTAAACTAAAGAATTGAATTGACTGTAAATTGTAGGAATAATCTACCTTTTACCTTACAATATGTTTAAACTTTGAATTTGACAATACTTTTTATTAGAGTAATAATCAGTAGAACTGTGGTGCACCTTATATGGCTTCCTATTCTATTTTAAGTTTCATTTTGATCTGTATTGATGTTTATTTAGTATCATTAACATTTTATATGGATGTACAGGTGTGTAGTTAGTATTATTAAAGTATTATTAAAATCTTACATTAATTATTTCGTATCATCTTATATGGATGCTCTTCATTTAATGGTTAACATATTAATTTGCCAAACTAGTTCTTTATTTTTATATTTTTTTAAACGGTTAAGTTACATACCAGTTTTTTAAAGGACACTTTTATTTATCAGCTGCAAAATTTTATGCAAGAAGCTGAACAAGCATATAAATGGTTAGCATTGTACTGAATTAGCTCCCTATCTCTTTCGATTTTTACTTATTAGGAAAGTTGAACGACAGACGTCTATATATCTTAGGATATAAGGTAACCACTGTTGGATTTTTGGGGTACCCTGGTGTACTAGTGAGCCAGCCAAAATGAGCTGACTCATTTTATAGTTCACCAATAAAAGGGTTAACCTCTCAGATGGCTCAAAATATTCAATGCGACGTGTATAAAGGCGGCTATCTTTTTCCTGAATACTCACTGCCAGCCGTTGATATCGAAGACTGAAGAATTACGGTACAGCTGCTGGTGGTATTAGCGATATAGTCAGATTCATTAGAGTGTCTGACTCGCGAGTGTTAATCTTTAACGTTGTTTCATTTTACAGTTTACGTACCGCGCTGTATTCTATATTCATAGACTATGGTGAACATGGTCAACAACCATTTGCATCTGTCCATAAGGAAAATTTTTACGATTTATATGCAGAAAACTTTGTGTCATGACCTATATTAAAGATTTGTTTCTTTTTTGGTGACTTTGAATTTAACGTAGATCACATTAGATTGGTTAATCACGGTAAAGCGCACAAGCCTATTTTAATTAAATTTAAATGGATGTATCCAGACATTACGCAATTTGTGTTTGACGATGAGACATTTGCGTGGGTAATCATAATAAGATTATGCTATTTATTATGGCGTGTCAAATGCCTCATTATTTTAAACGTTTAATTTCCACTATCACGTTGAGTTCATGTTTGCATGTTCGGTTTTGACGTAAATACATTTTATATTAATTCAGAATGTCCATGGATGATATTCCTGATAAATCATTGTCGAATACTAAACGATTCATACTAAAACTTAAGGAAGTTGATTTCTTTAAAACAAATTAGCTCATTTCTTTTGTTCCCCACCAGGATATATATGTGTTTATTGTTTCTATAAACGCACGGTATGTGAAATGAACTAAATCATTTTCCGTTCAATATTACTTCCCTTATACGATTTGATAAGGATCGGTTTAAACCAAATATTCACCCAGAGACAACGTAGCTCATGAGCTTGTTGAGAATACCAGGATGGCAAAACGCGCCGAACGCTTTCCAGATATCTGAAGCTACAGCCTGAGCGTCAGACATCCTATCTAAAGTTTTATACAAACATTCAATAATAGCTGTTAAAAACCTAGCCGATAGACCTTGCGAAAACGTAAACTATATTGTTTAACCGAAAGAATGTCGTAGGAAGTGTGATGCTTAACCAGTTCGGCGTTGATTAGAGCATATAATACTTTGACAGAAGAGGTAATAGACATATAATGAGATACTCCGATGGGTCAGACATTTCACCAATTTAATTAAAGGAAGGAACTACGGAGGATTTTCAACAAGCTGGCAAATAAGTAGCAATGGGACATTTATTGTGGAGCTTGGAGTGAAAAGAAGCCAGTTTAGGAGTACATTCCCTTCGAACAGTTACAGGGATACCGATGAATCAACAAGCCTTGTTGAGATCTATTTTAGAAATGATCACATAGATCATGCTCTCAGTCGAAACTCTCTCCTATGGGAAGAATCACATAAATATATACCTGATGTGTTGAGAGTTGAACCGAAAGTACATTTCCATGCACAGCATTCAATATTATCTGCAGTAAATGAAAATACATCAAACTGATTTAAGAGAGGAGGGACTTAGGATTTGCTCTGATTCGGTACAACCTACCGGAGCCGCTAGTAATCTTTAGAAGCAAACTTTTGATGAGCTATACGATGTCTCATTCTATCAGCGAGCAGTTACAACGAATATGATCGGACATGTCGCGTTGGTAGAGGCAAGAAATAGTTTCCTGTGAACTATAGCGACTGAAATATCACCAGAGAAAAAAGAAAATGGCAGTTTTACTTGACATTTCCAAGATGACACGAGAGCTTCGATGTCGGAATCCATCCAGGAAGAGTCCTCAGTGGCACATTTTTCAACAGTATGTTCAAAAAATAATTCCAACGGATGTGGCGAAGAAAATCATGAAATAAGTTCCAATCAGTGTGTTGTTAACAGATTCCCTGTTAATAGATGTGCTGAAGGAAATATCTTCAAAGATATTTGGGTTGTTGAAGTTGTCAAGAAGACAGAGCTGGAGAGTACGATGTGAATTCGAAGAGCATTTTTTAAAAAAATATTTCTGTTACATTAAATTCTTAAAATTAATTTCTTGCATATTAGTAGCATTTTCTTTTTATTTCAAATATATGGAGACACATATATGACATAATTGTAAATATTTACTTTTTAACAAATCATTATTCAGCAAAATATAAAGGAATCAGGAGAAAAAAAATTGCCATCAATGTCAGAATGCCAATTTAAAGATTGCAAATTGTTTTTCTCACTAGTTTATCATTTTATAGATTATCGAAATTAATTACGGGGTATTATCAGTGTAGGCATATCTTGCCATCTTTCCTCAAATATTTTGTGGGATTATGGACTGAATACAATGAGGGTCACTTAATTATAGTTAAAGTGATGACGTCAGTCAGTTATGTGCTATGCGTGATACACGCTTAGGTGATCATGTATCTTTCGATACATGACTGACGAGGCAATTATTTTTTTCCTGCAGTCGGTTGCCATTTCTTTCTGCGGTAGACTAGTTGCCATCCAAGGCTATAGACCCGGTCTGTCCTGCGATTTACCCATAGCTGGGGGTGGGGTGAAGAAGAGGAGTCATACATTTCCCAAGGGTATTAGCCCGTAAGTGATGACGACGTAAGGGAAAAACTGAGTTTGTTGTACGGCAGCAGGAATTGTCTTCATGAAAGTTCAACAATTTCCTTTCTTTATTTCATTCAATGTTCTAGCAATACCTGCTTCTTGGTGCCGATGTTCAGCAAAAAATATCAAGGCAAATCAGCTCAAGACCTGTGCCGATTACGGAAACGCTTTTGACTTAACTCGCACAAGATATATATATATATAGATAGATAGATAGATAGATAGATAGATAGATAGATAGATAGATAGATAAACTGCCGTCTAAATTCCGTAAAGATGAAAATAAGACTGGCAACTGATTTTGACAGATATATTTACCAAAATTACACAAAAATATCTTGAAATACCAACGAGTAAATTTATTCAATAAATAGCCGTAGCCTTCATCCACTGCCTTTAGGCGAATTTGGAAACTCTTGCAAGTCTTCCGGACTGTCTCCTTGTTTAATTTAGTGACTGCTACCATAATCCTTTCCGTCAGTTCATCTTTGGTGTTACAAGGATTTTTTTTGTCTCTCGCTCAACTACAAACCACACAATAATCAAGTGGGGTGAAAACTGAAGAGTTAAGTGGCAAGATGTAAGAGATGATGTTATCGCAGAAATTTTCTGGCGGCCATGATTGGTTTCTCCTGTTTGTGCGGCATAGTGCAGAGTCCTGTTACCAGACATGGCGTTATCCAGCATCCACCCTCTTGCCCCAGGCAGCACTACTTACTCAAGGCACTCGATGTAAGACTCCGTGTTGAGTATGAGGCCCTGTGGGAAGATAAATAACGCCATAATGTCGCAATCACAACTGATCACTCCAAACAGCATTGTATTTACCATTACCATGCGTGTGTGTGGAGGGGGGAGTTTATTTCTGGCTAATATTTCGGGAACGGAGTATTAATTGTACCGACTTTATTCATTGTGCAATTTTATAATTTTCCAAATTTCTACAACATCTCTTACAATTTATTGTCTAGGTAATTTTAAATTTTTCGCGATGAGCGTCAGGATTCCTATAAAAGTAGCATATCGGTTATCGACCTAGATTCTCTTCCCTTTACTTTGTTGCAGCTGGAGGAAACTTGGTGTTTGTTCATGTAATTTATTTCGTTTTTTTATTCAATGATTATTAATGCACATTTTCCTTTCTTTCCGGTATGGTGTCTGCATCAGAACATTCCATTACATGGACTCTTATCTTATAAAGATAATGTCAATGTAATGTAATGCTCAATCCATTCTTGATGCAATCGATTTCTAATGTTCTTGATGAGATTTGAACAAGTCTTTTCTGAGATTTTCTTCCCTTCTTTAATTGTTACACGTTCTACTTCATGAAGGTTTTTTGGTGACTGACGATTTATTCGAGCTTTCAATTATTGACATAGATTTTCAATAGGATTCACGTCAGGACTCATTGAATGTCATGGTATCGTTTCCTGAAGCCACGCAGCCACTGTTTTAGACGTATTTTTGGAAAGTAAATCGCTGGCCTAGATGAATATTTTCTGTTGTTAATTATAGATTTTCATCCAGAATTTTGATATAGTCCTTATTCCTCTTATATGCAAATAATTGTCCATCCCCCTTGAGCTTGAACAAGCCCAAAACATCATCGAGCCGCCTTCATGTTTCAAAGTTGCCACTGTGTTCTTAGGGAGGAAAGCATAATTTTTATAGCTCCAAATTTTCTGTACATAATTATGCACAAAAAGCTCAATTTTTGTTTCCACACTTCATAGCACTTGTTCCTAAAAGCAATTTTTTTTGTCCAAGAACGTTTTGGTAAAATTAAACCGAGCAACAATGTGATATGGTTTGTGAAGAGGGTTTCGTCATGGTCGATTTCCATACAATACATTTCTGTTTAAACAACTTTGTTAAGTTCATGTTTGTAGCTCTTTCTTTTTTTAAAACCTTTTTTTTCCCTCGAGATTGATTTGATTAGCAAATCAAAAATTCGAGGGTTTTTTGAAACGAGTCTAGTTATCTATCTATCTATTATATATATATATATATATATATATATATATATATATATATATATATATATATATATATATTAGTATTATTATTATTATTATTAATTCCGGATCATTTTCTAATTTATTCAAGATAATCTTCGCACGTTCTAACCTAACTTTCTGCCCTGGAGTGACAAGTTTCCTCACAGGTTTCACGTACGATTTTCTTTTCAAGTCTTTTTTTTTTACTGCTCTTTGGACTGTCAAAGTTGAATCTTCTTTCTCACGTGGCAAATGGTTTATGGATTGGGTTGGATCTTTTCTAATTGATCTATTTAGCTCAAAGTTTAAATGATGATCCCTCTTGTGACCTCCTGATCCAGTTGTCCTCTCTTCTTTTCACCGTTCCCTTGATGGTTCTGAAATGAAATTTGAAGATGGAAGCATTGTATGAATGTTGATGCCATTAGTGAAGGCCTAAATGATTTTTTCCTCTTACCATTTCTCCTTTGAGTAGTTAATTGGTTTGAAACATAAAGATTTTAACATGTTCCCTTTCATACTGAATAGCTCAAAGGGTTTTCAGTGATTCTTACAACAAATGACATCTAGGTGTCTCATGTTAAAACGTAAAAATTCAAGAGCTATATATAATTATATATTAACAGTCAACGTCAGTCTGTTAACCAAACGCTTCTTTGTGGCTGGATGGTTAACAGCACTTCAGATCAAATATTGGTTCTTTTTAGCGTTATACACTCAATGTATGTGTGTATGATTCATGAAACGATCAGTTTTAACTCAATACCTGAAGATCTCGAGGTTCACGCAGTTATTCTACCGATGTGGAAGGAAATGTATATTTATTATTAATGTATAATTTATAGCCCTGTTATTTTATCAATATTAGGATAGGACGTATGTAAACATGAATGTGGAGATTGAAATCAACACCTAGCGGTGATAGTCTGTCATGTTAAACAAAATCACCTGCCAATATATATATATATATATATATATATATATATATATATATATATATATTGCTTGTGTGTGTGTGTTAACATGGAGTAATTATATATATTCTGGTATAATTTGGAAAATTTTCCTTTCCACGATAAACACGCCAATGACGACACTCATGAAATTTAATTTCTTCGATGACTGTTTTGTCTTGTCGGAATTAAGAATGTTCTGGCTAAACCTTGTAATCCAATTGTGCTCTGAAAACAGAGTTTTCAATTTCGTTGAGTTTTAAGAATATCATCAGATCTTATCGTGTTGGCAACAGACAAAAATGGCGCCCAGACGGATGAAAAAAATAACAGAAATAAAATTTTCCTTCCATTTATTTGATTGATTTTTGTTTCTTTTTAGAAGACATTTTCCAATGTAAATCAATGCCTTTTTTTCTTGAGTGATTTTATGATTTTGTCATTATATTGATTTGTTGCGTCAACCTCAGACTAAAACATTGCTTATTGACCAACATAATTATGCTAATTTTATTCACTTAAAATGTTTTATTTTTTAGCGCTTCATAATTCGTTGTCAATACACTTAATTCAGTGATGATGACTAATCATATAGTTCGAATTGTTTAGTTAAATTTCGTATGACTTGCGGACACTTGACATGATTCTGTTTGAGACCAACAGGAGACTCAAGATCGAAGGATGACAGAAATACGCTCGTACGCCTGACCACAAATAAAACATTCCACAGGCTGTCGTAGACGATCCAGGTATCAGCACACGTCAAGTGAATCAAGCATGTTGTACATCTCATAGTATCGCATTTTGGGACGAGTGCCTCACACGAAAACAAAGTAAAATGTCAATATAAACAGATATCCAAAAAGCAATCATTGTAATTCCACGCAGCAACTCATAAAAAATGTTCAAAAATGTCCTCCGCTTGCTTCTATACACACATTCACCCGTCGGATCATTGACTGGCGGTCACTTTCAAATACAGCAACACGGTGTCGAATGGTTTTCCAGGCCACCATGAAACGTTGCTGAAGCGTCTCTGCAGTATTAATGTCTGCTGCACAAACCAATTGTTTTAGGTAACCCCACAGATAAAAATTCAAATGAGGAACGTGTAGTTCCTGGAACCGGTATTCCCCTACATATCCATTTATCGTGGTAGATGTCAGCCAGTGCATCGTGAACAACGTTACTAATATTTGCTGGAGCTCCTTCATGCATAAATCAAATGCGTCTTCGTATTAGCTGGTACATCCTCTAGCAGGTCTGGAAATGTGTTCGAAATAAAGTCCCTATATACAGCTCCTGTAATTCATGTTGGGAGAACATATGTACCTACCAGATAATCACATACAATTACTGCCCACACATTAATCGTAAAGTGATGCTGATATCTAGTCTGTATTACATGATGGGGATTCCGATCCGACCACAAATTTTGCCTCGTCCGTAAACAAGGCTAAAGGGCTAAACAAAGGATCGGAAAGTTGTGCAATAAACCATCGGCAAAACTTGTCCAGAGGTGAGTGATCAGAAAGCGAAAGAACCTGCACACGGTGTAAATGATTCGAATACAAGAGGTGTTCTTGATGTAACCCTCCATAATAATTCCACGTGACTTGATACCTGGATTATTTCCGACATCCTGTAGAATGTATTCCCCTTGATTAGGTGTACGAACGTATCTCGGTCTCCCTCGGTCCATAGTTTATGGTGTCGCAGAACCTGTCTCATCAACTTGACTATAAAGAGCAGCAAATGTTTGAGGACTCGGCTGCCTAGCGTCTGTCGGTTTGCCTCCTCCTAATTTTCAAAACCGCTACTAGGGGACGCTTTCCAGACAATAAATACTCAGTGATATTTTTCTCGCTTACTTCTCACCTTATCCGCTTATTCGTCAACATGTAACTTCTCGCGGAGAACGCGATTCCCTTTTTGGAAACGCATACAATATACATAGACACAAACGTACGTACACACATTCACTCACTACACGAACCTAGGACCAAAATTGTTTTCACATTTATTAAAGACGCACATCTTTGTCACTTGTAACCCTTTATTGTTAATACATTATTATTTATTTTAACATATATATTGGTTCTAGACTTGAATGATGTTACCTTTTGTTGAATAATGAACGTCATGTGTTGACAAATATGTTTGCGAGTATGTTTCTTTTTCTTTGTAGATCGGTTTGGTATAGTCTGCAGTTGCCGAAGAATCGTTGCAATAGAAAGTTTTTTTTAGTTTTTTTTTTTAAGATTGCTTCTATATTCAAGAAGAAATGTATTTGATAGTTGACCAGTGTACGAAAATGGAACAGGAATTGTTCAAATGTAGGATTCCAAAATGTTCGAAAATTTACCAGGGCTTTGTTCGAATGAAAACAAACGGATTTCACGATTACGAAAATTTTTGAAATATAATCTACTATCTATATTTCTCTTGTTGTCTGTCTGTGTGTCTTTCGTGGGCGTTGTTACCTCGCCCAGGCCGCATTTCTCACCCGATTTCGATGCGGTTTTCACCAAAAGTTTGCAAATGGCTGCCGTAAGGACATGACAGAGCCCGATTTTTGAGTTCGGAATCAGGTTCCGAAAAAATCGATAATCGAAAAAATCTGCTTACAGAAGGAATGATCGCATTTCAACCACATCTGACACCCTCTTAGATTCTACCATTAGAAGTTTTGTCCATAAGTTTCATGACCACGGACCCCTAAACAGCGCGGAAAATCGATAAAACACAAGAACCGATACGCCCAGATTGCGCCTGAACCGCATGTCGGTTTTTAGCGAAAACCGACCGGATTTATGAGGAGGCCATTGGGAGTCACCAAGTGAAATTTCAACTCTGAGCGCCCACCAAACAGAGTGCAAATCGACAATCGGTCAACCCTTAAAAATGTTTTTTTTCCGGTTGGGTATTTCCTAAATGCAGGTTAATTTAAGTTCACGCTATGCGCGGGAAGAATCAGGTCATTGCATGCAGTGGAGTGGAAGAAAACATTTGGCCTCAAATTCTGGAATGGGCGCAGGGCCATAGAAATTTGGCTTTTTTATCCCTGCTACCTGATCTGACTTTAAGCCACAAATGACATATTCGACTTTGTCAACACTTTTGAAAAAAAAAAACCCGCATACGTGCTGAGTGAAAATGGTTCCGCCCTCAGCAGTCCATATTCTAATTCTTTAAACTTTTTCCCTTAACCCAGGCCGCATCCCAGACCTGACGAGGAGTTTTTGCGCTAAAACAGCAGGGCTTCCTCCCAATCCATTTAAATGCTAATGCCGGCAAACGGCTAGCTGCTTCTCGTTGTCGCACAAACCAAACGAGCAAACGCTTCATTGCAGCTCCTTGCATTCTCATCGCCGGCATCACGTGCGTTAGAGCCAAGCTGCATATGCAGCAGGCAGCTTGACCCGGTTTACGGCCACGCCTTGCGTTTGCCAAATTATACGCGTCTGCGTGAATGCGCGCTAGCATCTTCCATTTTGCGTGAGCTCATTCATTGGTGTAAGACATGGCCATTGTCCAGGCTACGCCAATCAATGTCAAGTTACGCTCCCTTTAAATACCTTCAGCGCGGCTGCATCTGCACAACGACTTGATTTGATCGCCATTAACGCAATTGTCCATGGATTAATTGACAGCTTCCTGCTACCGCAAGTTACCTATTTGCTTAAACGTTTGCATTACCCATTTTATCTCCGCGTGCTGCCTCTACTGCGCAGCCGAGTCTATCTTAGCGTTTCATACCTATTTCAACCTTTTCGTAGTTCAGTTTTACTATTAGACAGTTAACTGCTGTCGCAAGTTACTTATATACTCAATCGTTTGCCCAACCGCTTTTATCTCCCCGTTACAGTTTTCACCGTAAGATGAAGTGTACTGCCTTTACTACGCGGCCAAGTACACCTCAGTACTTCACTGCCTATTTGCTTAAATGTTTGCATTACCCATTTTATCTCCGCGTGCTGCCTTTACTGCGTAGCCCAGTCCATCTTAGCATTCCATACCTATTTCTACCTTTTCGTAGTTCAGTTTTGCTATTAGAGAGTTACTTCTCTTCTGACTTTACTAGGCGGCCCAGTACACTTCAGTGTTTCACTACTTTTTAACCTTCAACGCTTCAACGTTTTGGTTGCGTAATCTCTTCCTACAACGTCGTTTTCGTGCTGCCAGAAGGCACGGCCCATAGCTAGGAGAAGCTTTTTCCATACCACTCCACTGCATTTTTAGTTTTCGTATACAACGAGGTTGCACCGCCTCAGCTTCGGTAACAACTTCCTTTCGCATTCTTACACAGCTTAGACAGCTTCTGGAAACTGTGCCAGGGTGTTGCACGTTTACAAATGCATTGACAAAACTCCAGACTCCGCTGAAATGGCGAAATTTCCAGTGGAGTAAAAAGGCACCAGCCCGCTGGTTTCCCTCCTCACATTCTGGAACTTAAAGTGGGGATCCTGGTTATGTTCCTTAGAAACCTGCGTCCACCGAAACTCCGTAATGGGACAAGGATGGTTACTCAGGCCTTACACCCAAACATTATTGAGGGCAAAATTATAACTGGCTGCGGTAAAGGATAGCAAGGGCTTATCCCAAGTATGCATTTGTATCCATCAGATGCCGATGTACCCTTCACTTTCAGAAGATCCCCATTCCCATTCGCCCCCTGTTTTGCTATGATAATTAATAAGGCCCAAGGACAAACACTGTCTGTCACTGCTGTACACTTAGAGGAGCAGTGCTTCTCACACGTCCAACTTTACGTCGCCTGCTCTCGAGTCGGCAGGTGCGATGATGTGTTCCTTTATTCACACTCACAAAAAGCTGAAAACGTGGTCTACACTGAAGTCCTCAGCCAGTGATACGCAAACTCCATTCCATTTTTCCTTTCCATGCAAGAAAATTTGTTCTTTCTCCCAGGCCGCATCCCAGATCCGATTTTTCAATTGACGTCATTGTGTCATGCCGGAGCACTATTTTTTATTTGGGACTCAAACTTTGTAAAAAACCGATTAACTCACAGGTGATACGGATTTGGGGGGTTTTAAGTTGAATGTCTCGCCCGCACTACGCGGCCCGGTACATCTAAGTTTTTCATCTCATTTTGGACTCTGTGCAGTTGACGTCGCGTTGTTACACACTTTTGAGCTCTTTTTATTTGAAATTAAAATCGAATCAGTGTATGGTTTCCAAAGTACCGGGTTAACAAAACAAGGGCAACAACAACCCCGCCCAAGTAGTATGACCAATCTCAATATTTCAAGAAACTGGGTTGGGTGTGAAAAATCATTTGTTGCTAACATTAATTTTCATTCGGTTTCATTACGAATCCTTTTTTAAAGCTGAACGTTTTGTGTTCATTTTGTTTAGTTCTTTTTTCGTAACATATTTAATGTTTAGTATAGATCTTAGAAAAAATTCGCAGTGTGAGATAGGGAAGTAGTAAGGCATGTAGCAACATCAGCACGGCAAAGAGCATTCCTTTAAAGGCAAGGAAGGGCAAAAATATTTTAAGTCACATGATAGCCGGCCATGCTGCTAGTTACTCAAATAAAAGACGAAAAATTTGTAATTCCAAAAGGTGTGTAAACGGCTTCAAAAGTAAACTTTGTAGACTGAGAAGTTCATTTTTATGTAGCTTGTATTCAACTACCACGGGATTAGCTCCAGTTAGTTCATTGGTAATACAAAGAAATCCTATGAATTGCAGATTCTCGCCCCAAAATGAGTAAAATAAAAAGATCTACACACTAACAAGTGAAAGTTAACTGTTGTGTATCTATTATTGACTGGGAAAAAGTATCAGACTCAATTTATCTTCTGTCTTAGTAGGCAAAAGTGCTAGGCTCATACGTTCGGAATATCGCCAGTTTTTCAACAATTATTTGAATTGTTAATGAGATATCGGCCAATTGACAATATTTGTTGATGTCATCAATCATTTTTAAATGTTATCGATATCATACAACTTCTTTGTAGAGCATTGGATTTGTATGTTTACATTGGAAAATATTCTATGTCGATGAGTAAGCAATAGTTTTACATTGTCTTCTTCAGGGTTCACCAATTATTTGTAGCGGAAAATGTGTGTATAAACGAATAATTATGTTAATTTCCAAATACGGATAAACAAATTTCAATATTTTTTTTATTTGAGTATTACTTTTCTTTCAAATTGAAATAAATGAATTACAAATATTCTTTGCGAAAACTTCCCGCAATTTTTTGTGTATTTTTTACATTACAATCGAATGAATTGCGATAGTACAGATTAAATAAGATGCGTCTAATTATGTATGTGACACAGGTCTACATTATTTTCACTGTGTGAATAAATTGTAGCCTTTGATCTCGTGAAAAAAAAAAAAAAATTTGCTACTGTTGTTGCCCTTCACCCTCCCCGGTCGTCCAAGATGTCCAATACTGCAGCTGATCGATGAAGTGATCTCTTCGATCCAGGTTCTGCTCTATCCCACGTTGTGACTTGCTTTGATCATTAGGCGGCCAAGATCGAATCCTCGTCAGGTATCTTCGTATTGGGCTGGTCGAAGAAAAAGACGCAAAGAAAGAAAATAGCACTCGAATAAATTAAAAAAAATAAATACTATTTTCATATCAAGTCCTTCGTACAGTAATTATTGTTAAAGTCAAGAGTCCGCCTGCAAAATCTTATCGGCCTCACCCGCTTCTAACCCACGTGTGACACTTTGTTGACTTGCCATCCAGAAATAGCCTGGATGAAATAGGAGAACGTTGATCAGAAAGAATTACCTGGTCAGAGTGCTGGCGGTCAGACTTTAGCCAGATTAAACATCTGATCATATCAGCATATGGTGTTCTACGGAGCCCAAATAACCTGCATATATGGGGGAAGAGCGATTCCCACAGTTGCCAACTATGTGCAAGCAAAGGAACACATCCTGAGTAGTTGCCCAAAAACTTTGAGGGGTAGTCGGTACCGTTGGCGCCACGACCAAATCCTTAAAGTGATTGCTAAACAGAGAGAGAGAGAACAAGCCTTTTATCTTCCGCAGATGATTGACAGTTGATAGTGGACTTAGAGACCCAGCTTAACTTCCCCAGACACATAGCCATAATATCACTCGGACCAGATCTGATATTGCACTCCGGCAACACGAAGTATTTCATTATTTGGGAACTATCTGTGTTATAGGAGGAATTTATTGCACTAGCAGAGAATGTGCTTGTCGAACAATGTCGGCGGAAGTTATGAAGAATATATGATTCGGTAAAAGTTGGTTGCAGGGGCTTTGCAGGACGGTCGCAATGTAGAGCCCTAGCAAAAATAGGCATAGTGGGTACAGTGAAGACGAGAAGGACATTACCAATGCAGTTTTAACTGCTTTCAAGTTAATTTGGCTTAAGAGATCAGGGCCAGGGAAGAACTAAAAAAAAGGAAGAAAACGGAAAAAAACATACTTAGTGAAACGGAGGGGAGGGTTTCAATCTATAAGTGAATATTGAGAAATTATTAATTCAGGGTAGTGAAACTGGGATGGATGGGGGTTGAGAAGTGTTGGCCTATGTTGGGGTGGGGGTGGTCAATGGATGGATTTTTTTCGGTTACCGATTGCCATTTATCCATGCGTATTTGCATATTTTTTTTAATATCCATTACCAACCCTAATACTTATGAATGTAAAGTTAGATCGTCGTAATCATAGTTTCATAATTGTTGAATGGTGTTTCTAGTATTAATTCTCTAGATTCATTTTCAATAATATTTAACAGATAGTAAACGGGAACATGTTACTTAACTGAGTAGTTCAGATTTCCTTTAGTTATTTAGGTATTTTTTGTTATTTAGTTTTTTTTCCTTACTTAGATTAGGCCATCGTATTATTTTAATCGATAGATTAAAAAACTGGTAAGGAATTTAAAATAAACAGTACGAGATAATTTTGTAATGAACGGTTCCGTAAAATTAATGTAAATGGGAGATAGGTTTCAAGTGTGCGTCTCCGTGCAGATGTGTGTGTGTGAGAGAGAGAGAGAGAGAGAGTATATTTACTACGTTTATATGTAGAGGCGTGAACGTGCATACATTTTTCTAATTTCTTTTGATTAAGAGTATAAGTTTAAACTTAAATATTTTTTTCATATAATAGTAAGAATAATGAATTTATTTTTAGATAGAGTAACATAAAATGTAAGTAAGGTTTAATTATCGAATTATGGGATAAGTATTTAAAACATAAAAACATTGGATTAAACTATGCAAGAACTAGCCCAACTTACCTCGTTATGAATTCCGGGGAAATAGCTGAAATGAAAACCGAATGGAACAAAAAGACAACACTATATAGGAAGGAAGGGTGAAAAGCCTTTATTTCATTGACTGACGTATGTCAATAAGAACGGTCGGATACCTGATTTCTTTTGATTTTTTTGATTTTTTTGTAATGTAGAGGAGCATAGCTCGACGCTATACAAGAAGGTGGCCTGACCTTTTTGGA